CCTGCCACGTGTTGCTGTGGCCCACTCTGGTGGTTATGGGGGTTCTGTGTGGGAGGTTTGGCCCAATTCTATGGTTGGTGGGGGTTCGGAATGCTCTGTGATTGTAGGTGAACTATAAATCCCAGCAACTACAACTCCCAAATGTCAAGATTCTATTTTCCCCTAACTCTGCCAATGTTCACATTTGGGCGTATTGAGTCTTCATGTAGAGTTTGGTCCAGATCAACAACATTGGGTTGTTAGGTGTCTTGTGTCTAAATTTGATGTCAATTCGTCCAGTGGTTTTTGAGTTTGTTAATCCCACAAACGAACATTACATTTTTATTTATATAGATTTATATACTGCTTTTCTCACTCCTAGGGGGACTCAAACCGGTTTACACATAGATAATGGCAAAAATTCAATGCCTTACAACTACAATAGTAAACCCACACATTCGACATAAATTATATTAAAAACAGTATATCACCAAACATCAAAACACTTATTAAAACCATAAAACAATCTCATCAGTCAAGTCGCCGTTCCAGTCCTTGTCCCTCTTAAAGCTGCATATATCTATTGTCCGAAGGCCTGGTCCCAGAACCATGATTTTAATTTTTTTTCCTAAAAGTCAGGAGCGAGGGAGCAGATCTTACCTCCTTTTCCATAGGCGGTGGGCCACAGCCGAGAAGGCCCTGTTCCTCATCCCCGCCAGCCGCATTTTCTCTGTTGATGGGAGCGAGAGCATGGCCTCCCCGGATGATCTTAAATTGCGAGGTGGGATGTTGTTGTTTATTCGTTCAGTCTCTTCTGACTCTTGGTGACCTCATGGACCAGCCCACGCCAGAGCTTCCTGTCGGCCGTCACCACCCCCAGCTCCTTCAAGGTCAAGCCAGTCACTTCAAGGATGCCATCCATCCATCCATCTTGCCCTTGGTCGGCCCCTCTTCCTTTTTCCTTCTATTTTCTCCAGCATCATTGTCTTCTCTAAGCTTTCCTGTCTTCTCATGATGTGGCCAAAGTACTTCAACTTTGTCTCTACTATCCTTCCCTCCAATGAGCAGTTGGGATTTATTTCTTGAAGGATGGACTGGTTGGATCTTCTCACAGTCCAAGGCACTCTCAGAACTTTCCTCCAACACCACAGTTCAAAAGCATCTTATCTTCCTTCACTCAGCCTTCCCTATGGTCCAGCTCTCACATACGTAGGTTACTACAGGAAATACCATTTCTTTAACTGTGTGGATCTTCGTTGCCAGTGTGATGTCTCTAGTCTTCACTATTTTATCGAGATTGGTCATTGTTCTCCTCCCAAGAACTAAACGTCTTCTGATTTCCTGGCTGCAGTCGGCATCTGCAGTAATCTTTGCACCTAGAAATGCAAAGTCTGTCACAATGTGTGTGCATATATTTGTGTAATGGTATTCCGCAAAAAGGTGAAGACCTGGATGTTTGTGCAGGCGTTTGAGTAATTTAGTGCAATCTGGTAATGGAACATAGGAATGGAACAATGGACGACGAACCTGGACTACGCTTGGATGATGAGAAGATTGGGTACGGTTGTTTTTTGTAATAATTGTGCATTGTAATTGCTTATTGGTAATTTATGGATAATGTGTTAAGTCAATTGTTATATGTTGTATGTAACCACTGCTGTTTCTACTGTTTTTACTGTTTGTGAACCGCTGTGAGTCGCCTTCGGGCTTGAGATACAGCGGTATATAAGCAAAGTAAATAAATAAATAATAATAAATATATATGAATATATGTGAGTTTGTGTATATATGTGTTTTTGCGCATGCGTTGTAATGTATTTATTATTATTATTATTATTATTATGGCTTATTAAGTCTCTTCTGCTGTGTTTTTCAGTGTTTTTATGAGTGATGGTCACTCATTGGCCTGATAGGTGTATTGTGTCAAAATTGGTTTTTGAGTTATGTTAATCCCCCAAACTAACATTACATTTTTATTTATATAGAGTAATGCCTATTTATATCCAACTTCTACTTTCTATAAAGGAAACTCAAAGCAGCTAAGTATACACTATTCTACAGTATAGATGCACCCCAGGCCCTTTCCACACAGCTGAATAAAAATACACATTACCTGCTTTGAACTGGAATAAATGGCAGTGTGGACTCAGATAACCCAGTGCAAAGCGGATATTGTGGGATTTTCTGCCTTGATATTCTGGGTTATATGGCTGTGTGGAAGGGCCCCTAGAAATGGGTTGCTGTGAGGTTCCAGTAGCATTCTCTTCTGATGTTTCACCTGCATCTGTGGTTGGCATCTTCAGAGATTCTGTTGGCAGTGAAGCAAGTGGAGTGTATATATATCTTTGAAATTTCTAGAGTGGGTGGATGAACACTTGTCTGTTTGAAACAAGTGTGAGTGTTGCAGTTAGCAAGCTTGAATAGCACCGAGTAGCCTTGAAGCTGCAAAGTCAATCAGGGAGGGTATCTGCCTATGTTGCCTGGGGACATCCTCTGTTTTGGAGGTGTTAACACTTGATTGTTTGCTGTCTGGAATTCCCCTGTTTCTGAGTGGTGTTCTTTATTTACTGTCTTGATTCTGGTGTTTTATAAATACGAGGGTTGAATGAAAAGTAATGCCTCCACCTTCGTAACTCCTCAACAGATGGCAGTACTGGTATGCAGCAGGTACTGGCTTGTTCAGTAGACTCTCCTCTACAGTTCCATTTTGGCAGAAAGCCTTAGCATTGAACGGTTGTGTTGTTAAAGTGCGAAGTATAGAACCCTGCGCAGACAGTCAGTCAATGCAACTTAAGCAACATGCAGTCATTGAATTCTTGACAGCAGAAGGTATCACCCCAATTGTGATTAATCAGAGAATGCAAGCTGCTTATGGTGATTGTGCTGATGTGAGTACTGTGCATCGTTGGGCAAGTAAGTTTAAAGATTTTGAGGTGGGAACATCTGACTTGTGTGACAAACAAAGAGTTCGATGTCCTGTGACAGCAACCACCGAGTTTCACAAGCAAAAGGTTGACAGATTGAATCAGGACGAATGTCGTATCACTCAGAGAGAAATTTCAAGCATAATCGGCATTTCACAAGAACGTGTGGGTCCCATTATTGTTTTGCTTGGCTATCGGAAGATCTGTGCACAATGGGTTGCGGAAACAGAGTGTTGACTTCTTCCATGACGGCTTCAAATAACTTGTTCATCGTTGGCAGAAATGTATCCAATTGTCTGGTGATTATGTGGAAAAGTGAATAGTGGTAGTTAAAGAGCACATTCTAAGGCTTATTTCTGCATTGGATTTATTAAAATATTCCCATCCAAACCCAAGTAACGAAGGTGGAGGCATTACTTTTCATTCAACCCTCGTAATAGTAACCAAATTTTGTTCATTTTCATGGTTTCCTCCTTCTTTTGAAATTGTCCACATACTTGTGGATTTCAGTGCCTTTTCTGTGTCGTCTGACCTAATGGCTGTCAGAGTGGTCCAGCATTTCTGTGTTCTCAAATAATATGCTGTATCCAGGTTGGTTCATCAGGTGCTCTGCTATGGCCGACTTCTGCTGTGCCTTTCATGTTCCTTGATTCGTGTTTGGGCAATGCTGCGTTTGGTGGTCCCTATGTAGACTTGTCCACAGATGCATAGTATACGGTAGACTCCTGCAGAGGTGAGAGGATCCCTCTTGGCCTTTGCTGAACGTAGCATTTGTTAGATTTTCTTAGTGGGTCTGTAGATTGTTTGTAGGTTGTGTTGAACCACTCTAACAACCAGAATGTCAGACTACACAGAGAAGCCATTGAAACTGCCCTTTTATCTTCCCCTGCTTTATCCTCACAAGAGGTGGGTCATACTTGCAGGGAGTGACCAATCCAAGATCATCTGACGAGTTTGACAGCCCAGCAGTACCTTGTACTTGAAGATTCCAAGTCTTATGACATCTTTTCTTTATCTTCTAGGTGTTTGTAATAGGGGAAAATCCCAAATAATTTAGATATTTGTTCTGTGGCCACTGAATCTAGCTGTCTATCCAGAAAATCACCCTCTTGCCTGTCTGCCTGCTTTTGACACCATGACCAGACGCAGTAAGTTCTGCTTCATTTATAGATCAAATTTTATTTTCCTGCCTAGTTGGAATTTTGGATGTACAGTGATGATCCTTGACCCCCCACTCCTTCCCTTTTGCAGAGCAGAAAAAATCTGGAAAGAAACACAAACATGGCAAGGTGAGCAGGGGGTGTCTGCATCTGTTTATTTGCTGCTGTTCACAAATGCTTTTTTTGGAGGGGGGTGAGATTTATTGATTTATTGGTTGTTGAGCTGTGTGTTGTGTAGGAAAAGGCTTGTTTTCTCTCCTGGTTTGTTTTTTTGTGTGTGTCAGGAGCGACTTGAGAAACTGCAAGTCGCTTCTGGTGTGAGAGAATTGGCCGTCTGCAAGGACGTTGCCCAGTGGACGCCCGGATGATTTGATGTTTTTATCATCCTTGTGGGAGGCTTCTCTCATGTCCCCTCATGAGGAGCTGGAGCTGATAGAGGGAGCTCATCCGCCTCTCCCCAGATTCGAACCTGCGACCTGTCGGTCTTCAGTCCTGCCGGCACAGGGGTTTAACCCACTGCGCCACTGGGGGCTCCATGTTTTCTCTCCTGAAGACTGGAGAGAGGGGTCAAAGAATCCAAGCAGAACCCTTTGATTATGTCTGTGAGAAGAACCTGAGTTTTCTTAGAGAATTCAGTTTTATTGGTGAGAAGAAGTCATAACCCAAACGTTGGTGATCAGAAGAAAGGAAACATTATTATTATTGTTGTTGTTGTTATTATTATTATTATTATTATTATTATTATTATTATTATTATTTTTAGCCATCCCTTGCCACGCATTGCTGTGGCCTACATGGCTTTTCTGTGTGGGAGGTTTGGGCCAATTCTAACGTGGGTGGGGTTCAGAATGCTCTGTGATTGTAGGTGAACAATAAATCCCAGCAACTACAACTCCCAAATGTCAAGATTCTATTTTCCCCAAACTCCACCAGTGTTCACATTTGGGCATATTGAGTATTCGTGTAGAGTTTGGTCCAGATCCATCAGTTCACCTACATCTCTGGATATAGGTGAACTACAACTCCAAAACCAAAGGACACTGCCCACCATAGAATCATAGAATCAAAGAGTTGGAAGAGACCTCATGGGCCATCCAGTCCAACCCCCTGCCAAGAAGCAGGAATATTGCATTCAAATCACTCCTGACAGATGGCCATCCAGCCCCTGTTTAAAAGCTTCCAAAGAAGGAGCCTCCACCACACTCCGGGGCAGAGATTTCCACTGCTGAATGGCTCTCACAGTCAGGAAGTTCTCTTTCAGTATTTTCTTTTGGTCGTGGGAGAACTGTGTGCCAAGTTTGGTTCAATTCCATCGTTGGTGGGGTTCAGAATGTTCTTTGGTTGTAGGTGAACTATAAATCCCAGCAACTACAACTCCCAAATGACAAAATCAATTTTTTTGAGTGAAGGACATACATTGGGTTGTTAGGTGTCTTGTGTCCAAATTTGGTGTCAATTTGTCCAGTGGTTTTTGAGTTCTGTTAATCCACAAACGAACATTACATTTTTATTTATATAGATTATTATTATTTATTAAACTTTATTTATACCCCGCCACCATCTCCCCTCAGGGACTCAGGGTGGCTAACACAAGGCCAAGCCCAACAAATACAGTAGACAAATAAAATACATACAGCAAATATTAATTAAAATTGAAATAAAAATGAATTAAAATAATATACAGCAATAAAAACAATAGCATACTTGGTTTAAAATCCTAAGTATTACTTACAAAAATATAAGAAAAAACAAGAATTTGGATTGAGAATTGTAAAGACTTTATTTTTAGTTCCAAGATGAAAAGGAATGGCACTGAACGTTTGGGTTTTCTATTTATTTATTTTATTCCAAATAGGGTTTGGCTTTACTGTCTGTTTATTTATTTTATCCCAAATACGGTTTGAAGTTTGCAGCATCAGTTTAAACAGAGCAGTTCAAACAGTAAGAACTTCAACCCTTTAAAAAGCATTAAATACTACATTAAATTAATTAAAACACTATTTTTATAAAATTTAAAAGAGTTAAAACTCTGAAATACACAATGCATATTAAAACAACACAACATCATTCCACCCTGGGCAGCCAATGCTGAAGCCTTGTTTAGACAACAGAGAGGGAGCAGATCAAATGTTTCTCTGGCAGGAATTCAAGATGATAAGACTAAGTCAGGCTCAGATGGTGAGATACAGGCTCTCAGATAGTCGGGACTAAGCTGTATAAAGTCAAAAATAGCCTTTTGAGTTGTGCCTGGAAATGGACTGGTGGCCAACAAAGCTGTTTCAGCAAGCGTCATATGCTCCTAATAATAATAATAATAATAATAATAATAATAATAATAATAATAATAATAATAAACTTTATTTATACCCTGCCACTATCTGCCAAAAAGGACTCAGGGCAGCTTACAGAATCACAAATAGTGCCATAAAACACATATAACCAATCCCAGTCAGTGATCTAGCTGCAAAATTTTGAACTTAAAGTTCCTGAATATTTTTAAAGCCATCCCTACATGGAGTGCATTACAGTAACCCAACCAGTCAAGACACGTGTTATTGTGACTAGATCTGGCTTCTCAGGAGATGAATGCACTAGCGTTGCACCGGGACTGTGGCGCAGCTGGCTGAGTGTCAGCTGCATTAAGATCACTTCTGACCAAAAGGTCATGACTTCGAAGCCAGCCCGGGTCGGAGTGAGCTTCTTGTTGACCTTTGCAATCCAAAAGACAGTTGCATCTGTCAAGTAGGAAAATTAGGTACCATCTATGTGTGGGGAGGCTAATTTAACTAATTTAAAAAGACTCCAGCAAAGCTCTCCAGCGAAAGCATGTGGGGAATGCGGAAGTACTTCATCAGTGTCGCAGATGGACGATGAAAGCGACAGCTCCCCTGGCAGCCAGAAAAGTTAAATAGCCTCTGACTGTCTGTCTATATCTGTTGTGTGTCTTTGGCATTGAATGTTTGCCATATATTTGTACATTGTAATCTGCCCTGAGTCCCCTGCGGGGTCGTGTCAGTGCCGTGTCAGGAGCAACCTGAGAAACTGCAAGTCGCTTCTGGTGTGAGAGAATTGGGCGTCTGCAAGGACGTTGCCCAGGGGACGCCCGGATGATTTGATGTTTTTATCATCCTTGTGGGAGGCTTCTCTCATGTCCCTGCATGAGGAGCTGGAGCTGATAGAGGGAGCTCATCTGCTTCTCCCTGGATTCGAACCTGAGACCTGTCGGTCTTCAGTTCTGCTAGCTTCTGGGATAAATTCAAGATGATGTCTTCCAGCAACTACGGGGAGCAACGTAATCCCATCCAGCACGGCGGGTGTGTGTGTGTGTATGTGTGCTTTGAATGCGATTTTTCTGCTTCTTGGCAGGGGATTGGATAGGATTGGATGGCCCACGGGGTCTCTTCCAACTCTGATTCTACAGGTTGAAACCCTTCTATCTCATTAGCTATCCAGTTAATCAGGAATGGATTAAAGCTTCAGTTTGGTTGCCTTATCCATTCACTGACTTAGCACCAAGCAGCAGAGTTGGATTTCATCTTCCTATTGGTACATTAAATATGCTGGCAGAACTAGGGTTTTAGTGTTGTGGGAGGAAAGGTCTAGTATCTTCTTGCTCCTTAAGTTTTTCCAAGTTGTGTAAAAATTGCTGGACAATATAATGTGAAATTCTCCCTTGTACACACACACACACACACACCTACGACTTGATTAGGGAAATGTATCTGTCATTTCCTGGTGGCACTTTCCTGGGCTTTGGCCAGTGTTAAATAGGATTGTGGCCTTATTCTCCCAGCCAATTATCTTTTTAATTGTCTGTGCCTCTGAAATTGATTTCTGTAGTATGTGTGGTATGGCTGTGGGACCCTGTGGTCCTCAAGACATTACCGGACCTAAGTTCCCATTGACCTCAGCTGGCCTGGCCAGTAGTAAGCCATAATAGAAGTTATAGTCCAGTCACAGGTCCCCATCCCCGAGAGGGTATCCAGGGTGCTCCCCCCTCAAATAAACACTGGTGGAGGGGAAAGAGCTTGAAGAGAACTAAACTTTCCAAGCAGGTTGGTCAGTCACCACCTGGGGCCAGTTCATTTCATTTATTGATGCATTTCTTTTCCCTTCTATAGAAAAAAGATGCAAAGATGCATGGGAAGAAAGACTCAGGAGTGCCTCAGTTGTCACGTTTCAAAGAGCCAGTCAAAAAGGAAGCAGCGCTCAAGCAGAAAAGGGTGAGGTTGAGAAATGGAAACAGTGCTCCATGTGTAATGGAGCTGGAACTGTCTGATAGAGATGAATTGTCCGACCGAGGGTCAGTGGAGTGGGTTGTGGGTCTTCTATGTTTTGGAAAGGCTGAAAGAGGCTGGCAAGGCCCATCTGTGGATTAAGATTCTGCATCTCACAATCAGGTAGCTGAACTGCAGGAACGGCAACGCCTGGCCCGTCAAAAGGAAATCGGAAGGTTTCGGAGTCTGGAAGGGCTTCAGAAGGATGCTTTACGCCGGCAGCAACATTTTAATCAAAAGGTAATCAAGCTGTGATAGAGATCTTCACACTTCTACACAGAGAGAGAGAGTTATGTGAATATATGGCCATGTTCTAGAAGTATAGCCCGAAAAACCTACAACAACCCAGTGATTTCAGCCATGAAAGCCATGAAAGGCTTCGACAATATATGTGAATATATATTAAGGCACCGGGACTGTGGCGCAACTGGCTGGGAGTCAGCTGCATTAAGATCACTACTGACCAAAAGGTCATGAGTTCGAAGCCAGCCTGGGTCGGAGTGAGCTTCCGACCAAAATTGTGTAGCTTGTTGTCGACCTTTGCAGCCCAAAAGACAATTGCATCTGTCAAGTAGGAAATTTGGGTACCACTTGTGCAGAAGTTATTAATACTTTGCATGTTTTAAACTGTATATATATGTGTTTGGGTTAGCTACAGTAACACTGGAGCAGCCTATTTCAGAGATCCTCAGTCAGCGTTACCATGGAGACCAAGGCAAGCTGGCAGAAGGAGAAGTGGGAGGAGCCAAGTGGAGAGAGTTTTGAAAACAGACAGTTTGAGAGTCAGTTAGGAGTTGATTTTGTATCTGAGAGGAGTAAAAGAGTGGAAGTGAAGAGTAGAGTGGGAGAGTGAAGTGTGAAGCAAAGAATTGTGGCTTTGGGAAGCCTGAATAGCTACTGGAGGTTTCTCAGTCTAAGGAGGCTGAAAGGAGAAACATAGCCAGTTTTCTTTAGTCAAGGGAAAGGCTAAAGGATAAGCTTGTTAATTTATTTGATCAAGGAAAGATCAAATAGGGAAGATATTCCTGTACTGAAACATTGTTTAGTAATAAGAGCTTCACCTCAGTAAGATACTGTGTAACCTGGAAGAGTGAAATGTTTAACTAACCAAGTGTTATTCAAAGTTCTATAAAATAAGTTACAATCTTGCAACCACACGCTTTGTACTCAATAAACCAGTTATCTTTTGTTGAAGACAGTCTCATCTCCATCCATTCTGCGTCTGTATTGCCATATCTCACAGTAATACCTCATATCTCACGTTGGTGGCAGTTACCATAGATTACATATAACAATTGGCCTCCACTATACCAGTTGGTGGCAGAATTCAGAGAAATAAACAATAAACCTCCCTCTACTCTCCTGTCACACGACAGCACGTGTGCTTTCTCTCCACTCTGATCTCCTCCTCGCACACTTATGTGGGGAGGCTTATTTAACTGATTTACAAGGCCATAAAAATCTCCAGCAAGTATGCAAAGAATGAGGAAGTACTTCATCAGTGTCACAAATGGACGGTGAAGCGACAGCTCCCTGGTGGCCAGAAGCTGGAATGTTAAATAGCCTCTGAGTGCCTGTCTATATATGTTGTTTCTCTATGGCATTGAATGTTTAGCATGTATATGTACATTGTAATCCTCCCTGAGTCCCCTGCGGGGTGAGAAGGGCAGAATATAAACACTGTAAATAAATAAGTCTTGGTAGTTTAACTTGTCCAGAATTCATCGGCCAGGGCATGGTGTTTTAGTCTCAACACCTAACTTTTCTTGACCTGTATATGTGTGTGTGTATATATATTTGTACTTGTTCTCTTTACAGGAGATGGATCTGCAGCAACTGGCCAAGCATGCCCTTCTGGAGAAAGATAGCTCCTGCAAGGCCTACTATAAGGAGTTCAGGAAGGTTAGTGGGAACTGGGGTGACCTTAAGGGGAAAGATACGCTGTGGATTGGACACAGGTTGCTTTGTTGGTCTGGTGAGGCTGAGCCATATGTCAGACGACGTATCCCCTTAGTCCTCTCTCTCTCACTTGCTTTTATTAGGTAATTGAAGCTGCTGATGTGATCCTTGAAGTTCTTGATGCTCGGGATCCCCAAGGCTGCCGGTGCCCTCAGGTTGAGCAGGCAGTGATGCAGGCTGGCACTAACAAGAGGCTAGTCCTGGTGCTAAATAAAATCGGTATTTTCAGTGTTTTAATGTTCTGATTTTATACTGTTGTGTTGTGTATTTATATTGTTTTTTGTATCTTATGTTATTTTCTTTTTAAAAATTATTTTTTTATTAAAGAATTTTCTTACATTGCATAATTAAAATAAAAAAGGAGGGATTCTAAGGATGACTCAGGGTAAAGTAGGGATAAATATGGTAAGGCAGAGGTGGGGAATTGGGTTGGGGGATAGTGATGGTTTTGGGAGAGGTATGGATGGGTCTTATTTTATTTTCTTATTTTTTGTTGTGTTTTTGTGTTACATTGTTTTACTGTATTGCTGGGCGTGGCCTCATGTAAGCCGCCCAGAGTCCCCTTGGGGAGATGGGGCGAGATATAAATAAAGTTTTTATTATTATTACTAGCTGTCCACTGCCATGCGTTGCTGTGGCCCAGTCTGGTGATCTGGAAAATAAAGTAAAGAGAAATTCTAATATATGTAATTTCTTTATGGTTGTGGGTAAACAGTATTTCTTGTTGTTTCTTCATCAGTGTTGATGTGGAGAGTGTCTGATTGGTCTACTCTGGAATGTGCAACATATCATAGTCCTTCTTTAGGGGTCCCTTTCAAATCTATGATAGTATATCTGTGTGTGTGTGAATCATATTATCTATCTATATCTATGGCTGGATGGCTCTTTGTCAGGAGGGCTCTGATTACATTTTCTTGCCCCGGTGAAGAGAGTTGGACTGGATGGCCTTAAGTATTTTCTGTTGGTCATGGGGGTTCTGTGTGGGAAATTTGCCCCAATTCTGTTTGTGGGATTCAGAATGCTCTTTGATTGTAGGTGAACTATAAATCACAGTAACTACAAATCCCAAATGTCAAGGTCTATTTTCCCCAAACTCCATCTGTGTTCATATTTGGGCATATAGAATATTTGTGCCAAGTTTGGTCCAGATCCATCATTGTTTGAGTCCACAGTGCTCTCTGGATGTAGGTGAACTACAACTCCCAAACTCAAGGTCAATGCCCACCAAACCCTTCTAGTGTTTTCTGTTGGTCATGGAGTCCTGTATGCCAAGTTTGGTTCAATGCGTAATTGGTGGAGTTTAGAATCCTCTTTGATTGTAGGTGAACTATAAATCCCAGCAACTACAACTCCCAAATGACAAAATCAATTTTTTTAGTGAAGGGCATACATTGGGTTGTCAGGTGTATGCTGTCCAAATTTGGTGTCAATTGGCCCACTGGTTTTTGAATTCTGTTAATCCCACAAACGGACATTACATTTTTATTTATATAAGATGATGATGATGATGATTATTATTATTATGCTTCGAAGGCCTGGGTTCCCTGGGAGAGACAGGAAATCTGGTGTGCTGCTTATCTGTTTATTTAATGTATTCTCCACCTTTGTCCCAGGCGGCGTACCACCTTGCAGTGGTTCTCAACCTGGGGTCCCCAGATGTTTTTGGCCTTCAACTCCCAGAAATTCTTAACAGCTGGTAAACTGGTTGGGATTTCTGGGAGTTGTAGGCCAAAACATCTGGGGACCCACAGGTTGAGAACCACAGCTCTAGGGCACAACACAATTCAAAATCACTCTTTGGATGAACATTAAGACACAATTAAGCAAAATTTCTATATTAAAAACATGTTAACTCGAAAGTGAGAGGCAGTTTTAAAAACAGAACCTCTGCCTTTGCTACAGATGCAGGCGAAATGTCAGGAGAAAATGCTGCTAGAAACAGCCATACAGCCTGGAAATCGCACAACTGCTTAGTTTTAAAAACACATTTAAAAGATAATAAAATTCAAACACAACAGCCTTTGTTTACAGCTCCATGTATTACAAGAAATTAAAAACTCAAAGCCGCCTTAAATAAAAAGGTCTTTACAGGAAGGCATCCAACCAGTCTTCCCTGGAAGGGAATTCCATGGATTGGGAGCAACCACTGAAAGGGCTCTTTGCTATGGTCCTCACCAGGCTCCCCAGTGGTGGTAGTGGGAATGACAGAAGGCCTCCCCCCAGTCACAAGTCTTGGAGCCTGGGCTGGCTCAGATAGAGATGCATGGTTTTCAAATAGTTTGGACCAAGGCTGTGTAGGGCTTTAAAGCCCATGACTAGTGCTTTGAATTCTGCTCAGCTAGTGTAACTGTTTCATCAAGGGGATTATATGCTAGAGTCCTAATCCTTTTTGTATGGGGCTCAAGCACAAAAGAATCCCAATAAACTTTTGTATCCAGTGTTTCCGTAAGCATTCTCTTTTTGCTGCAATATTATATTTGAGGTCCGTATTCCTGTATTGAAACCCAGATCCTCCAGTATTATTCTAAAATTTATATTTTCTGGACTTCTAGGCTGCTCCTATTGCAGAGTAGAGAGAAATTACAGTCATTACTAGTGGTTATGCTATCTGGAGTTGATAGAAGCTGCAGTCCAACAACAGATGTAACGCTATCTAATTTTGGGTTGTTGTAGGTTTTCTGGGCTATATGGCCATGTTCTAGAGGCATTTTCTCCTGACGTTTTGCCTGCATCTATGGCAAGCATCCTCAGAGGTAGTGAGGTCTGTTGGAAGTAGGAAAATGGGTTTATATATCTGTGGAATGACCAGGGTGGGACAAAGGACTTTTGTCTGCTGGAGCTAGGTGTGAATGTTTCAACTGACCACCTTGATTAGCATTTAATGGCTTGGAAGTGCCTGGGGGAATATTTTGTTGAGAGGTGATTTGATGTGCCTGATGGTTTACTCTCTGGTTTTTTTGCTGTTGTAATTTTTGAGTTTTTTTAATACTGGTAGCCAGATTTTGTTCATTTTCATGGTTTCTTCCTTTCTGTTGAAATTGTCCACATGCTTGTGGATTTCAGTGGCTTCTCTGTGTAGTCTGACATGGTGGTTGTGAGAGTGGTCCAGCATTTCTGTGTTCTCAAATATGCTGTGTCCAGGTTGGTTCATCAGGTGCTCTGCTATGGCTGACTTCTCTGGTTGAAGTAGTCTGCAGTGCCTTTCATGTTCCTTGATTCGTGTTTGGGCAATTCTGCGTTTGGTGGTCCCTATGTAGACTTGTCCACAGCTGCATGGAATACGGTAGACTCCTGCAGAAGTGAGAGGATCCATCTTGTCCTGTGCTGAACGTAGCATTTGTTGGATTTTCTTGGTGGGTCTGTAGGTGGTTTGTATGTTGTGTATGAAAGGCTCTGCAGACTACTCCAACCATAGCAGAGCACCTGATGAACCAACCTGGACACAGCATATTATTTGAGAACACAGAAATGCTGGACCACTCTCACAACCACCATGTCAGACTACACAGAGAAGCCATTGAACTCCACAAGCATGTGGACAATTTCAACAGAAAGGAAAAAACCATGAAAATGAACAAAATATATAAACCCATTTTCCTACTTCCAACAGACCCCACTACCTCTGAGGATGCTTGCCATAGATGCAGGCGAAATGTCAGGAGAAAATGCCTCTAGAACATGGCCATATAGCCCGGGAAAACCTACAACAACCCAGTGATTCCGGCCATGAAAGCTATCTAATTTTATTTGGCATAAGTGTTTATGGGTGACATCATTCTTCGCCCACTCTTGCCTTAATGCAGTGCTTCTCAACCTGTGGGTCCCCAGGTGTTTTGGCCTACAACTCCCAGAAATCCCAGCCAGTTCACTAGTTGTTAGGATTTCTGGGAGTTGAAGACTAAAACATCTGGGGACCCACAGGTTGAGAACCACTGCCTTAATGTAAGGCAGTGTTTCTCAACCTTCCTAATGCAGCAACCGTTTAATACAGTTCCTCATGTTGTGGTGAGCCCTAACCATCAAATTATTTTAATTGCTACTTAACAACTGTAATTTTGCTACTGTTATGAATTGTGATGTAAATACCTGATATGCAGGATGTATTTTCATTGTTAGTTCTGTTTCTCCCTGGGATTTAGCCATGAAGGGGCCACTCCACCCCCCTCTAAGCCCTGTCCTCCCCCTAGCCTCCCCTCCCTAGACCTTCTCTCTTCACTTTTTCACCTTCTTTCTTCTCATCTCCACCTCCTTCTCTTCCCTCTTGCCTCCAAAGCAAACCTCACCTCCATCACTCCCGTGTCTTCCTCCTAAAATGGTGGAGGGGTGGGGCTGAGTGACATCACCATCTCTCTCCGGAAAAGAAGAGATCTCTGGGAAGTGAAGGTGGCAGGAAAAAGTTAGTGGTGTCTCGGTTCCTGAGACCATTGGAAATGTGTGTTTTCTGATGATCTTAGGTGACCCCTGTGAAAGGGTTGTTCAACCCCCAAAGGGGTTGCGACCCACAGGTTGAGAACCACTGATGTAAGTCTTTGTTGGGCTTCTTCAGTTTTTCCTGGGCTTCTTTAATGCCTTGATTCTGCTCTTCCATTTTTCATGCAGATCTGGTGTCTAAGGAGATTGTAGCAAAGTGGCTGAAGTATCTGAGAAATGAATTCCCTACAGTTGCCTTCAAAGCTTCCACACAGCAGCAAAGTAAAAACCTGGTATGTGGTCCTGCTAGGAATGCACTGACTAAAGCAAATAAGTTGCAGTTTGGAGGGTGGCAATTAATGGTCTGTACAGAAAAAAAAATGAAGGTGCACAATAGGGAGATCACGATCCAGTAAGTAAGGTCCTGCTGCTTTTGGTAGTCTGCCAGAACAAACACAGTTCTCACAAATGTTACTTTCTCTGCAAAATTGGCAACTGTAGGAAGAATTAGATACGATCCTTCATATTAACTGGTTTGATTTCTGTGGATTTGATTATTTGCATAATTGATTAATATGATTTGTAAAAAGTACTAACTGCTTCAGTGTAACTATATAGTCAGCTTCTGCTAGAAATTGGCCAAGCAGGTGTGCAGGAGGACCTAGAGATCCATAGGAGGAACCTCTCTCAGAGAATATGTTCTCCAGCATGTCTCTGTGGTCAATGCCAGGTATGTTGGAGGACCTAGTGATTCTGATGGACCACCAGAAGCAGCAGGGGTTAACTTCCTGGATCAAACACGTTGATCATAGAGTCACACTGGAGAAACTAGAGATTCCTAGAAGTCTTTTGTCAATTTTTCTCTCTCCTTAATTTGCTATTTTTCCACTTTTGTTGGGATCCTGTGCCCCTAAATCCCATGAAACAGGAGGGCCTATATAGAAGTTGTTTTTCTGGGGGTCAAACTTGTGAAGGAATACAGTCAGTAATCTTTAAGTGATTAAATGCAAAGCCATTCTCTTTGAGGGCCCTTCCTTACTGCCCTTTATCCCAGGATCTCATCCCAGATTATCTGCTTTAAACTGGAATATATGAGTCTTCACTGCCAGATAACCTGGGATAAACAGATAATCTGAGATTTATTTTTTATTGTGTCAGGAGCAACCAGACATTTGTATTACATTTTTAGCAAATCAAACAAATAGACAAAACACAAAGTTTGCAAGCTTGGTAGTTGATTAAATGTCCTTTGACCAGTATCTGTCCACTTGGAGTGCTTCTGGTGTTGCTGCAAGAAGGTCCTCCATTGTGCATGTGGCAGGGCTCAGGTTGCATTGAAGCAGGTGGTCAGTGGTTTTATCTTCTCCACACTCGCATGTTGTGGACTCCACTTTGTAGCCCCATTTCTGAAGGTTGGCTCTGCATCTCGTGGTGCCAGAGCGCAGTCTGTTCAGCGCCTTCCAAGTTGCCCAGTTTTCTGTGTGCCCAGGAGGGAGTCTCTCATTTGGTATCGGCCATTGATTGAGGTTCTGGGTTTGGGCCTGCCACTTTTGGACTCTCACTTGCTGGGGTGTTCCAGCGAGTGTCTCTGTAGATCTTAGAAAACTATTTCTTGATTTAAGTCGTTGACGTGCTAGCTGATACTCAGACAGGGGATGAGCTGGAGATGTCTCTGCCTTGGTCCTTTCACTATTGGGTGCTACTTCCCGGTGGATGTCAGGAGGTGCAATACCGGCTAGACAGTGTAGTTTCTCCAGTGGTGTAGGGTGCAGATACCCCGTGATAATGTGGCATGTCTCATTAAGAGCCACATCTACTGTTTTAGTGTGGTGAGATGTGTTCCACACTGGGCATGCATACTCAGCAGCAGAGTAGCATAGCGCAAGGGCAGATGTCTTCACTGTGTCTGGTTGTGATCCCCAGGTTGTGCCAGTCAGCTTTTGTATGATATTGTTTCTAGCACCCACTTTTTGCTTGATATTCAGGCAGTGCTTCTTGTAGGTCAGAGCACGGTCCAGAGTGACTCCCAGGTATTTGGGTGCGCTGCAATGCTCCAGTGGGATTCCTTCCCAGGTGATCCTCAGAGCTCGGGATGCTTGTCTGTTCTTAAGGTGAAAGCACATGTCTGTGTTTTAGATGGATTAGGGATCAGCTGGTTTTCCCTGTAATCGGCAGTAAGAGCACCTAGAGCTTTGGAGAGCTTCTGTTCAACCATCTCAAAGCTCCCTGCTTGAGTGATGGCATGATCATCAGCATAGATGAAACTCTCTGTCCCTTCTGGCAGTGGCTGGTCATTTGTGTAATTGTTGAACATTGGATGGAGCAAGTACGCTCCCCTGAGGCAGGCCGTTCTTCTGTTTTCTCCATCTGCTTCTCTGGCCCTGGAACTCAACAAAGAATCTGAGATAAAGGGCAGTGTGGAAGGACCCTGAGATGGGTACAGAGCGGATTGGAAATGGAAAATATACCTTAACTTCTGTGCTATGCAGCATGGTACAGAGACAATGGGGACCTAAAAGACTAGAGCTTACAGTTCCAGGTGGTTTGGGGAGAGAAGGAAGGGCTTGTTTTCTCACAATTCCATTTTTCCTTCCAGCAACAGAGCCGTGTCCCAGTAATCCAGGCTTCGAGTGACTTGCTCAGCAGTGGAGCCTGTGTCGGGGCTGACAGCCTCATGAAGGTGTTGGCCAACTATTGTCGGAACCAGGATGTTAAGACAGCCATAACTGTCGGAGTTGTTGGTAAGCAAGACTTCCCTTCTCTGGGGAATATGGCGGTTCTGAATCTTGTCCCAATGTCCTGAGAATTTTTCAAGAATCCTGGAAGAAATGAATTGCTTTGTCTCTTCTCAGATACAGGACAAAACCAGACATTTTGAAATCTTCGCTGTCTTCATTTGTAAATATTGATTCTCTGTCTCAAAAGTCCAGGGGATAAAACAGGAAGATCCATAGCACCATATGTTGAATGCAAGAATATTTTTCTTTTCTTCTGCCACTTTTGGGCTTTGCCCCCATCTCCCGTTCCTTGGAAATAATGTTTTGCAGGATGCTCAAAAGAAGACTGCATTTTGAGTAGGTGCATTCACCAGATATGAATGGATTTGGTAGACTGAGACACCCTTTTTTATTTCCCTGGCTGCAGGCTTTCCGAATGTTGGCAAAAGCAGTTTGATCAACAGCTTGAAGAGGAGCCGGGCCTGCAGTGTGGGTGCCACGCCTGGCGTTACCAAGTATGTAGTGGTGTTTCCATGCATAGACCAATAAGTGAGGAGTGGGAAGAAGGCAGCCTTCCCTTTAATGCTTTGGTTAAGGAGTATTTTCCTTTAAGAGGGTTTACCTAAAAGAGCTTTCTCCAATCCATTGATGTTTTGGACTTCAACTTCCATAATTCCACTCCCCATGTTACTTGCTCACTTACTTAGGCGATCCCTCATTGTCCGAGTAGGATAATTTTCCAGGGTGGGTCCATAGGTGACTATGGAGCCCTATTCTTGATCTGCATCTTCTCCCGCGGTGAGGGCGTCGGTTTCCAGGTGGAAGGCGGTCCCGGTCGGGGATGGCTTGACGTGCCTTCCTCTTGGCACATTTCTCTCTTTCGCCCTCCATTCATGCCTCTTCAAATTCTGCAGCACTGTTGGTCACAGCTGATCTCCAGCTGGAGCGCTCACAGGCCAGGGCTTCCCAGTTCTCAGTGTCTATGCCAGAGTTTTTAAGGTTGGCTTTAAGCCCATCTTTGAATCTCTTTTCCTGCCCACCAACATTCTGTTTTCCATTCTTGAGTTCAGGGTAGAGCAACTGCTTTGGAAGCATCCGGCCAACGTGGCGGGTCCAGCGGAGTTGATGGCGGAGGACCATTGCTTTGATGCTGGTGGTCTTTCCTTCTTCCACTACGCTGCCTCTCTTCCCAAGAGATTTGCAGGATTTTCTGGAGGTAGCGCTGGTGGAATTGTTCCAAAGGTTGCATGTGACGTCTGTAGACAGTCCACATTTCGCAGGCGTATAGCAGGGTTGGGAGGACAATAGCTTTATAAACAAGTACCTTGGTATCCCTATGGATGTCCCGGTCCTCAAACACTCTCTGCTTCATTCGGAAAAATGCTGCGCTCGCAGAGCTCAGGCGGTGTGGTATTTCGGTGTCAGTGTTGACTTTGGTGGAGAGGTGGCTGCCAAGGTAACGGAAATTGTCAACATTTTCTAATGTTACACCATTAAGCTGTATTTCTATTTCAGAACAGACAACTCTGCGTCTGTATGCTTGTCCAGCGTGGAATTGTTGGAGGCTACTGACAATGCCGTTGCCCGTTTTTGGTCAAAACATCTTTAGCGGCTTGCATGCCTTCCATTTTTATCAGTTTTATACTAATTTATGCAATGCTTTTGATACGAAATAAATAAAATTTTAATTGCCAACTTTATAGAGATGTACTAGTGGAATTTTCTACCACACATGTCAAAGTAATTTGAATGGCAATGGGCATTTGGCTTGATGAGGGAAGTGCTATTTGCTATTCTGCCTGAGACAGAACAATGTCATGTGGGATTGTTCAAAGTCATCTGTTCATACCTTTCTTATTAGAGATTAGCAGAGTTGGGTGAAGTAAATTTGGATTGTGAGATTGGAGTCTCATTCTGTGAGCACGAAGGCATATTGTCGGACTCTGGAACTCACTCCCCAAGATTATCAGGCAAGCCCCCACATTGGCAGTCTTTAGGAGGAGCCTGAAAACGTGTCTGTTCCAGTGTGCCTTCCCTGAATAAGGAAACAATGCCCTGCTCTGATTAATTCTGTGCAATTGTCCTCAGAAGCACTTTAACTACCTGTTGGGTTGGTCTCCCTACATCAGGGGTCCTCAAACTAAGGCCCGGGGGCCGGATGCGGCCCTCCAAAGTCATTTACCCGGCCCTCGCTCAGGGTCAACCTAAGTCTGAAACGACTTGAAAGCACACAACAACAATTACAACAATCCTATCTCATGAGCCAAAAGTAGGCCCACACTTCCCATTGAGATACTAATAAGTTTATATTTGTTAAATTGTTCTTCATTTTAATTATTGTGTTGTTTTTAAGTGATTTTTCCACTACAAATAAGATATGTAGTATGTATAGGAATTCATTCATGTTTTTTTCAAATTATAATCCGGCCCTCCAACAGTTTGAGGAACTGTGACCTGGCCCTCTGTTTAAAAAGTTTGTGGACCCCTGCCCTACATTATCTTTTAAAACCCTCCTGCTTAGATACATCCTACCTCTGTTCATGCCCAGTGTTTATTTAAAATTTTCTAATTTATTACATCTGGCACGGCCATAAGGTTTAAAATTCTCTGTGTTATTGTTTATATGTCAGTTATATTAATTGTCCTGTTTTATTTTCTTGCTGTTTTGTTGTTTATTGATGTGTTGTTGGGTTTGGCCTCATGTAAGCCGCCCCGGGTCCCCTTGGGGAGCCTTTATACGAGGGGTATTTTTTAAGTAAGGTCCGTTTGAACATAAGTACACAACGAAAGTTTATTTCAAAAAAAGTAAATTTATTTTCAGAAAGTACATACTTCACTCTATTTTTCGACATAGTTGCCAAGTTTGTTCAAACACTTATCATACCTCTGAACCAATTTTAAAATACCCTCTTCATAAAAACTTGCCGCCTGCTCCGATAACCAAGAGTTCACTGTAATCAAAGAAGGGCGACCGGAGCGGTCCTCATCATGGACGTTGTCACGGCCATCTTTGAATTGTTACCCACTTACGCACTTTGCTTTCACTCATAACAGTATCACCGTACACTTCACAAATGTGTCGATGAATTTTGGCAGTAGGCAGGTTCCTTGCTGACAAAAACCGTATCACTGAGTGAACCTCGCATGCGGCGGGTGAGTTGATAGTCTTAAACATTTTTAAAGCACAGAACAGAACCGTACAGGTTAGCTACAGAGCGGAAACTGAGCACAGTTGTTCCCGAGGCATGCCAGTACACGACGCACGCGCTCGTTGCGGTATGCGCGCGAACTACTAGTGTCTACAACAAAACGGACCTTACTTAAAAAATACCCCTCGTATTATTATTATTATTATTATTATTATTATTATTATAGTCTGATCATTTAATTGTCAGAAGCAACTTGAGATCATGTCCATTTACAGCGCAAAACTTGTACATTTCATTTGTAAGTTTAAAAGCCACAAATTGTAAAATAAAAATCTAAATGTTTAAAATACAGCTGCTAGAAATACTAAAAATCAAATAGTCCATGAACGACTCCTTCAAAAGTCCAAGTCACCCACCAGCCTGCCTCAAAAACTTTGGATTCCATTTGGGGAGGAAGACAGAATATAAATTATTCAGACAAACAGATTTATAAATAACTCTGATTATTAAATGAATTTTGCACTCCTTCTGCCTGTCTCTGCTAGGAGAGCTGCGGATTGACAAACCACCTCTGGGAGATTATTCTCTATCTTTGGAACAGCAGCAACAAAAGATTGTTGTGCTGAACTTTGACCAGAAGGCCTGGATTGAAATCTCTATGCAAACATTTGCAGGCTTCGTGGGGTTGAGACTCTGCTAGTCACTGTCTCTTGTCCTAATCTGTTTACTAATCCATGTCTCATCTCTTCAAGACCAGAGATAGGCATACTTCTTCCCTTGAATCATCTGGAGAGGGATATATTCCTGTAACAATAGAAAAAAAGTGCTTTCCCTCCTTTAAAAACTAATTAAATATTTCATACACTTGCTTTCAAGGGGAATTGCACGTTTGGGGAATGGTTTCCTCCACCACAAGAGCAAATTGGGCAGAAGTGGGGAGGGAAGGGTGTAAAGGCTTCCTCTTCGTTGTCTGATATTCTATTCAATCTAGTATGCTGCCACCATCTGTGAGGTACTAGGCCAGGGGTCCTCAAACTTTTTAAACAGAGGGCCAGGTCACAGTCCCACAAACTGTTGGAGGGCCGGATTATAATTTGAAAAAAACATGAATGTATTCCTGTGCACACTGCACACACAGGTCTTACTTGTAGTGCAAAAAACACTTTAAAACAATACAATAATTAAAATGAAGAACAATTTTAACAAATATAAACTTACTAGCTTAGGGACCCAGCAGTGCCTGGGTTATTTGAGAAGAGTATTGTTTGTCTGTGCTTCAAGTTTTGTCAGTGTGTGCGGGTGAACTACAACTCCCATACGTAAGTCTCATTGTCCATGGTTCATTTTCCTCCAAACCCCACCAGGGTGGAGAGTGGGCCATGGGGACTCTGTGTGCTAAGTTTGGTCTTGATCAGTCATTGGTGAGTGTCACTGTGGTCTTTGGAAGTGAGTAGAGGTACTGCATATCCCATCCTCCATGGTCCATCCTCCTCCAAAGCACACCAGGGTGCAGAGTGGGTAATGGGGGCTCTGTGTGCCAAGTTTTGTCCTGTTCTGTGATTTGTGGGGGCCGCAGTGTTCCGTGGGAAGTGAGTTGGGTGAAGGTACTGCAAATCCCATTGTCTGTGATCCATCCTCCCCCAAACTTCAGCAGGGCATGAAGGGGTTCATGAGGGTTATGCGTGTTAAGCTTGGTCCAGGTCCATCATTCATACTAATCCCAATGGTCTCACAAAGTGATTGAAGGTATTGCAAGTCCCATCATCCATGGCACATCCTCCCCCAAACCATATCAGGATGTCAAGTGGGTCATGGGGTTTCTGTGTGCCAAATTTGGTCCAGTTCCATCCTTGGTGGGTATTGCTGTGGTCTGTGGGAGCTGGAGCGATTGAAAGTACTGCAAATCCCATCATCCGTGCTCCACCTTCCCCCAAACCGCACCAGGATGTAAAGGGGGTCATGGGGGTTATGTGTGTTAAGTTTGCTCCAAGTCCTTCACCCGTGCAGGTCACAGTGGCCTGTGAAAGTGGCAGCCAATCAGAAAGCTGCCACATACACCCGCCCTCCTTCCTTCCGCATACAAACACTGACTTTTATTATATACATAGATAGATTAGTATTTCAATGGAAAGTGTGGGGCTGCTTTTGGCTGATGAGATAGGATGATTGTTGTTGTTGTTGTTGTTGTTGTTGTTGTTGTTGTTGTTGTGTGCTTTCAAGTCATTTTACATAGGTTGACCCTGAGCAAGGGCCGGGTGAATGACCTTGGAGGGCCGTATCCGGCCCCCAGGCCTTAGTTTGTGGACCCCTGTACTAGGCTATGCTGCCACCAATTAATAAGGGTTTCCTATTTAGTTTATTAATGGATTCCCCTATTTCAAATAGATTCAGTGCTACCACTCTGTAGTGTTTCTTTTGGTGTGTAGCGAGGTTTCCTTTTTTTCCCTTTGAAATAGTACACTGAGACTTGAGTTACTAAAACAAGAACAAGTTTATTTGGAGTATGGAAGGGTCTTAATGGTTTCAGAGTTCTCTTCTCCTGAGGTATAAAGCTTCACGAGTTACAGTTTCAACAAATCTTAATATAACTTTAGGATGTCTTTTACTTCACCAACTAGTTCTTTAGTTGTTACACCTCTAAATATGTTTCCTTATTTGACAGATTAACTAAGATCAGCTAATGCCCTTGTCTCGCTTCATCTTCATGCTGAAGTAAAGATTCCCAGTGGGATTTCTTCTCCTATTTATTTATTTATTTATTTATTTTGCTCATTTCTACCCCGCCCTTCTCAACCCCCGAGGGGGGACTCAGGGCGGCTTACAAAAGGCACAATTCGATGCCTACACAAGCAATAAGATAAAAACATATATCGACAGCAATAAAACAATTAAAACAATCAATTATACATCACAATCCATAAAACCAGTCTAATGCTCAACGTTCACCAGCTCAGAGTCCGTAAATTCATTCCACATTGTCAAATCCTATCAATTCTAGTCGTCATTGTCCTTTGTCTATCTGCCAGATTACCCAAAGGCCTGGTCCCATATCCATGTTTTTAGTTTCCTTCTAAAAGAGAGGAGGGATGTCGATGACCTCATTTCCCCAGGAAGTGAATTCCACAGGTGAGGGGCCACCACCGAGGAGGTCCTGCTCCTCGTCCCCACCAATCTCACTTGTGATAGAGGTGGGGCCGAGAGCAGCCCCCCCCAGAAGACCTTAAACTCCGAGGCGGGACGTAGAAGGAGATGCGTTCGGACAGATATGCTGGGGCGGAACCGTATAGGGTTTTGTAGATCAAAACCAGCACTTTGAATTGTGCTCGGAACTGGATCGGTGGAACTGACATAACAGAGGGGTGGTATGCTCCCTGTATGACTCTCCGGTGAGTAATCTGGCTGCCGCCCGCTGGACTAATTGAAGTTTCCGAACAGTCTTCAAAGGCAACCCCACGTAGAGTGCGTTGCAGTAATCTATTCGGGATGTAACAAGAGCGCGGACCACAAGAGTATTAGCACACAGCTAAACCACAAACCTAAATAAGTCCCCTTGACTTATTTAAATCACTCAGGCTAAAAGCTTTCCCTTAGTTTGGTTCACCACCCGTTTGAACCACCTTCCCTTTGGCTCAATGACCAAAGGACTGAAGCCTCAAAATGTCTGCTTCTGGTAAGTGCAGTTGGTTCCACCCCTTTCTCCATGGCAACCTAACTCAGAGTGCTGAGCTCGGTCCCATCCCCCTAGTTCTGCCATTTCTAAATGGTTAACCCTTTATGTACATCCATAACTGTCTTTTACCTCCTGAACACATACATATAATAATATTCAACCATCTAAGCATATATAGTTAGTTAGTTAGGCGATCCCTCGTTGGACGAGTAAGATGGTCTTCCTTGATTACTATTTTTGTGGGTTTGTAGGTGGCTGCGGAGCCCTATTCTTGACCCGCATCTTCTCCCACAGTGAAGGCATTGGTTTCCAGGTGGAAGGCGGTCCCGGTCAGGGTTGGCTTGACGTGCCTTCCTCCTGGCACGTTTCTCTCTTTCACTCTCCACTCGTGCCTCCTCGAATTCTGCAGCACTGCTGGTCACAGCTGACCTCCAGCTGGAGCGGTCAACGGCCAAGGCTTCCCAGTTCTCAGTGTCTATGCCAGAGTTTTTAAGGTTGGCTTTGAGCCCGTCTTTAAATCTCTTTTTCTGCCCACCAACATTCCGTTTTCCATTCTTAAATTCAGAGTAGAGCAACTGCTTTGAGAGATGGTGGTCGGGCATCCGGACAACGTGGCTGGTCCAGCGGAGTTGATGGCAGAGGACCATCGCTTCAATGCTGGTGGTCTTTGCTTCTTCCAGCACACTGATGTTTGTCCGCTTGTCTTCCCAAGAGATTTGCAGGATTTTCCGGAGGCAGCGCTGATGGAATCGTTCTAGGAGTTGCATATGACGTCTGTAGACAGTCCACGTTTCGCAGGCATATAGCAGGGTTGGGAGGACAATAGCTTTATAAACAAGCACCTTGGTATCCCTACGGATGTCCCGGTCCTCAAATGCTCTCTGCTTCATTCGGGAAAATGCTGCACTCGCAGAGCTCAGGCGGTGTTGACTTTGGTGGAGAGATGGCTGCCAAGGTAGCGGAAATGGTCAACATTTTCTAATGTTACACCATTAAGTTGTATCTCTGGCATTGGGGAGGGGATGGTTGGTGACTTCTGGAACAGCACTTTGGTTTTCTCGATGTTCAATGACAGGCCAAGCTTCTCGTGTGTTTCTGCAAAGGTGTTTAGAGTGGCTTGTTGATCTTCGTCTGAATGCGCACAGACGACATTGTCATCAGCATATTGGAGTTCTATAACAGATGTTGTTGTAACCTTGGTTTTGGCTTTCAGTCTGCTGAGCATATATACAATCATATTTAACTGTAGACACACACATATATAACTACACTTAACTTACAGTTAAAAATCAGTGCTTCATCACAAAGGGTGTAAAACCATCTGGGGTGTTTCTCTCCGGGGATGGGTAATATATGTATAGGAAATGCCTTTTGGCTCCAGAAGATCCAAAAGCATGGTGCTAATGTCCCTCATTTCCCTAGATGATATTTGAGGAGATTTTTATATTTGCTTTTTCCAAGAGTGCAATGGGAGCAACAATTTCTCTATGGTCTCCTGGTAAGCTGATATGACCCCGTAGCCATCCACATCTGCCCACCCCTGATGTAACCCATGGGTGCTTCCCACCATTGAAGAATATAGCACAGAACCCCCATAGACTGTCCTAATGTGGGGGGACGGGGTTGTGAGAAAATAGCCCCCTTTTCCTAACCTTTCTTCCCTCTTTTCTCATCTTCCCACCCACCATCTTTCTAGGTGCCTACAAGAGGTACATCTGGACAAGCACATCAAAATCTTAGATTGTCCTGGGATTGTCATAGCTTCTCCCACCTCCGATGCGGCCATGATCCTACGAAACTGTGTTAAGATAGAGCAACTGGTCGATCCAGTTAGTCCAGTGGAGGCCATTTTGAAACGATGCAACAAACAACAGGTAGTTCTTATGGCGGAAGATTGGTTTGGAGCATGCTTTTTGTAATGATAAGTGAGAGCAATGTGTACTTGAGAGTCAGGAATCCTGGGCAGCTCTAGCTATTATATGACAGTTGCATCTATCAAGTAGGAAATTTCGGTACCACTTATGTGGGGAGGCTAATTTAACTAATTTACGAGGCCATAAAAATCTCCAGCAAGTATGCAAAGAATGAGGAAGTACTTCATCAGTATCACAATCGGACAGTGAAGCGATAGCTCCCCTGGTGGCCAAAAGCTGGAATGTTAAAGAACCTCTGTCTGTCTATATATGTTGCGTGTCTATGGCATTTAATGTTTGCCATGTATATGTACCCGTGCGGGGTGAGAAAGGTGGAATATAAATACTGCAAATAAATAAATAAATAATATAGACAATAATAAGTGTGGATGGGAATTTCAGTCTTAAGAGCCTCTGGAGAGTTTCATTGGTTGGTTGTTGTTGCTTGGTTTACGTTTTATAATTTCTTACATTTTATTGATTTTATTGTTTTAATATAGTTGATTGTTATATGTTTTTAATTGTATTATTTGCAATCTTTGTTTATATTGGGCTTGGTCCCCATGCAAGCCACCCTGAGTCTCTTTGGGGAGATGGAGGCAGGATATAAGAATAAAGTGGTTGTTGTTGTTATTCATAGTCCTCGTGTCTGGCTTGAGATCCCACAGGTTTCTGCTATAACAGACTAACATAGAGTGCATCCACTCTGTAGAATACAGCCTGACACTGTATTGATGGCTATGGCTCAATGCCGTGAAATCCTGGGATTTATATGTTGTTGAAACACCAGCACTCTTTGACAGAAAAATCTAAAAACCTTGAAAAAGTGCTGCTCCTTTATACCATAGCATTGAGCCATGGCAATTATATTAATGTTAATTGAATTAATTTTGTAGTGTAGAACCAGTCTTAGGTCCCTTCTGCACTGTCATAAAATCCAGATTATCAAACAGATAATCCAAATTATTTTCTTTGGACTGAAATGTATGAGTCTACACTGCCATAGAGTCCTGTTCAAGGCAGATAATCTGGATTTTATATAGCAGCATAGAAGGGGCCAAAGTTATTCTTGGGAGGTATGAAAAATGAGCAAAAATGCCCTCATTAACTGGGCAGCAGTTTCAAAGTATATGTAGGAATTTTAATTTTGTTAGTTGCATATAATTTCTTACTGGGTTGTTGTAGGTTTTTCCGGGCTATATGGCCATGTTCTAGAGGCATTTTCTCCTGACGTTTCGCCTGCATCTATGGCAAGCATCCTTAGAGGTAGTGAGGTCTGTTGGAAGTAGGAAAATGGGTTTATATATCTGTGGAATGGCCAGGTTGGGGCAAAGAACTCTTTTCTGTTGGAGCTAGGTGTGAATGTTTCAACTGACCACCTTGATTAGCATTTAATGGCTTGGAAGTGCTGGGGGGAATCTTTTGTTGAGAGTGATTTGATGTGCCTGATTGTTTACTCTCTGTTGTTTTGCTGTTGTAATTTTTGAGTTTTTTAATACTGGTAGCCAGTTTTTGTTCATTTTCATGGTTTCCTCCTTTCTGTTGAAATTGTCCACATGCTTGTGGATTTCAATGGCTTCTCTGTGTAGTCTGACATGGTGGTTGTGAGAGTGGTCCAGCATTTCTGTGTTCTCAAATAATATGCTGTGTCCAGGTTAGTTCATCTTACCGTCATCATAGCCAGTACTATCTTCAAAGAGAAGTTCTTTTCTCTAAGGGAAATAAATTATGATTGTAAGATGATGTCGCTGCCTAAACCTTTCAAAATAGGTTTTTAAATCTCTATGTGTTTTGTCTATATGTGAGTTATATTAATTATATTGTTTATTTGCTTATTGCTTGTTGTTTTTATTGATGTGTTGTTGGGCTTGGCCTCATGTAAGCCGCTCCGAGTCCCTTGGGGTGATGGTGGCGGGATATAAATAAAGTTATTATTATTATTATTATTATTATTATTATTATTATTATTAAACTATTTACACGAAAATCAGTTCTTCGACTAGAAAATCAAAGAAATCTGATAGCCATTTGATTGGAAGAATGGGAAAGTAGCACAATATATCCCTTGTATGGGAATCGATGTTAGTAATCAGACTTGGACCAGTTGAGAGCATTTGGGTTAAACAGACACGGAGAAAGACATAAACATAATGTTGTGCTCGGAATAATTAAAAGTTTGGTATTGTAATGCGTATCTGTCAATAATAATGTATGTCAACCAATAAAAATGGAACATCAGTGAGATTTGTCAAAAACTGGGAAGCTGGACCTACTTCTCCCAGGAGTCTCAGTTTAAGTTATTTATTATTTACTAGCGGTCCCCTGCCACATGTTGCTGTGGCCCAGTCTGGTGATGTGGAAAATAAAGTAATGAGAAAGTGTTGGTTTCTAATATATGCAATGTCTTTCTGCTTGTGGGTAAACAGTATTTCTTAATGTTTCTTTGACAGTGTTGATGAAGAGATTATCTTGTTTGCCTACTCTGGAACATGCAACATATAATTGCCCATCTTTAGGAGTCCCTTTCAAAACTATCTTTATTTCTGTGTGTGTGAATCGTATCTATCTATCTATCTATCTATCTATCTATCTATCTATCTATCTATATGGCTGGATGGCTCTCTGCCAGGAGGGCTTTGATTACGTTTTCTTGCCCTGGTGAAGGGAGTTCGACTGGATGGCCTTAAGTATTTTCTGTTGGTCATGGGGGTTCTGTGTGGGATGTTTGGCCCAGTTCTGTCATTTGTGGGGTTCATTCAAAATAGTCTTTGATTGATGGTGAACTATAAATCCCAGTAACTACAACTCCCAAATGTCAAGGTCTATTTCCCCCCAAACTCCATCTGTATTCATATTTGGGCATATTAAGTATTCGTGCCAAGTTTGGTCCAGATCCATCATTGTTTGAGTCCACAGTGCTCTCTGGATGAAGGTGAACTACAACTCCCATACTCAAGGTCAATGCCCACCAAACCCTTCTAATGTTTTATGTTGGTCATGGGAGAACTGTGTGCCAAGTTTGGTTCAAATCCATCGTTGGTGGGGTTTAGAATGCTCTTTGATTGTAGGTGAACTATAAATCCCAGCAACTACAACTTCCAAATGACAAAATCAATTTTTTGAGTGAAGGACATACATTGGGTTGTTAGGTGTCTTGTGTCCAAATTTGGTGTCAATGCGTCCAGTGGTTTTTGAGTTCTGTTAATACCACAAACGAACATTACGTTTTTATTTATATAGATTTGTATACCGCTTTTCTCACCCCAAGGGGGACTCAAAGCGGTTTACACATAAGTAATGGCAAAAATTCAATGCCAGTACAAACAATTACAACTATACACTACAATTAGATATAAATCAAATTTAAAAAATATAACAATGAGCAGTAAAACAATAAAAACAGTCTAGTCCGTCAAATCACCGTTCCAGTCATTGTCTTTCCGAAATGCTGCATACATTTACTTCAACTGCCCGAAGACCTGGTCCCAAAACCATGATTTTAATTTTTTTTTCTAAAAGCCAGGAGGGAGGGAGCGGATCTTACCTCATTTGGGAGTGTGTTCCATAGGCGGGGGTGCCACAGCCGAGAAGGTCCTGTCTCTCGTCCCCGCCAGGCGCATCTGTGCTGTTGACGGGAGCGAGAGCAGGGCCTCCTCGGATGATCTTAGATTACGAGGTGGGACGTAGGGGTGGATGCGTTCGGACAAGTTATTTTCCCCTTCTCCCTTTTCCAAAACTTACTACTGCATTTGTTTATCTTCTGTGTATCATCTTTGGAGCCAGAAATACTGTGGGAATTAGGACAGGTCAGTCATTCGGAGGCCTTTGCAGTCATGACTTAGATCATTTGAAAGTGGGAGCATGTTAAATACACATTAAGCAGTCGGGTAGAAGTTTGCCCACCTGCTTCTCTCTCTTGTCGTCCTCTCCTTCCCAAAAAGATTACGCAGCACTATGGCGTGCCAGATTTCCAGGATACTATGGAGTTCCTGGCTCATTTGGCCCGGCGTCAGGGCAAGTTGAAGAAAGGAGGAGTACCAGATCATGAAAAGGCAGCAAAAGCAGTGCTAAGTGACTGGACGAGGTAAGTAAAAGAAAGAAGGCTCTCTCTTTTTTAAAAAATGACCAGGAATCTCGAATGTATTGTCAAAGGCTTTCATGGCTGGAATCACTGGGTTGTTGTAGGTTTTTTCGGGCTATATGGCCATGGTCTAGAGGCATTCTCTCCTGACGTTTTGCCTGCATCTATGGCAAGCATCCTCAGAAATCTGGAATGTCTTTTTGCAGCAGCTCTCTCTTTCAATGAAATGCGACTCTCTCACAGTCTCTCTCCCTTTCTCTTGCTAGTGGGAAGATCAGCTATTTCACACATCCACCTGAAACCCACACACTGCCCACTCACGTCAGTGCTGAGATTGTGGCGGAAATGGGCAAGGCCTTCGATTTTGAAGCTCTCGAACAGGAAAACGAGAAGGCTTTGGCAAGTAAGTAGCTATGTACACTTCAAATTAGTGTTATATTATGAGCCTGCTTCTGGTAGTTTCAAAATGACTCTCAAGCTGCACATGTTCAGGAATGGTATTCCCTTGCTGAACCTGTAAGAGTCAGGATATTTCTTCCCTTTTTCTCAAGGAGCTTTTGAAGAAAGAGTAAAATCATCCTTCAAAGAGGAAGCAAGCAAACCCATGAATTTCAGTTGT